TTACGCTGAATCCAATTTATCACCCAGAGTTGCATGCCCTGGGGGGATGGGATATGGAATAATGATAGTGAAGGATGAATGAACGTCACAAACATACAGTCGTAAACACGCCCACGCTCGAAGCGGCATTCGTACTCGCGATTCTTCTGTCCGAGATCGCCAAAGCACTACTGCCTTAGCGATATCGGCCGCCCGCATCAGCTTCCTTTCATTTTGTTTTACATTACATTAGATTAAAAAAGGTGTATCTTACGTACTGCTACTGCCCTCTAATGAACTATTAGATACCTATATCGACAACAGCAAAAGAGTACACGTAGTGATTACAGCGAACACGCAATTAAACACAGCAGACCGCAAAATTTATAATCACATGGCGATAGTCATCTGGAATTGGTTTAATTTGAATATATTCCTGCTTATTGCATTTAAATCGTATTTTTAAAAGAGAAAACTATTGCGCCAATTTCAATTAAGGTTTGCGGATTTCCTGAAAGAAAATACATCAATACGTTGAGAATACAAATTGTATAATAAAGTCTAAATCAAAATCCATTGCGGTATTCAATACTAAATTATAATTAAAATTAAATTAATTATTTTTCACATTCCAATACTGTTCTCCAAAGACTTTTTTCCTGGTCCGTAGTTGGTAGGACACCTGTATATATTGCTTTACTTTTGAGCAGAAATATCGCGAACACTGCTAGTTTTTTCGAACAAATATACAGTCCATGACCTTTTTTAATAAGCTGGTTTTTACAAGAGATTTTGTTTACGACCAAAATCCCTATATTCTTTTTTGTAGTTTCGCAATGTTAAGTTTTGTAATATTCAAAAGCATTGAGATTTAAACGAAAACAGATATGCGCCATTCTTTTAAGCATCCAATCTGTTCGTGAAAAAATTTAAATGAAAATGTTTAGAACAAGTTTTGAGAAAATTATTTTAGAAATTTGCTTACATTTCTAGCAAAAATCACGCGAAATTACTCGTTTTATCAACAAATTGTACATTACCTTTTTTAAAGAGCTGATTGTTTACAACAGACTTTGTCCAAGACAAAAATCTCAATCATCAATATTGTAGTTTTGAAAAAATCGAGCAACACACAAAATGTGATTAACTCCATGTTTACTCCCCCTTATTACACACGAGAAAAAACTTTGAGCGGTGTTGAGCAAAAATTGATATTGTTTTAATTGCCTATATTTCGCGCAAAATTACACGAATACGCCCATATTTTCGAAAATTCGAATACGAGCTTATTTAAGGATGTGCTGTTAAGGAACAGATTTTTTTTAAGGTAAAAAATCTCTATCTTCAGTATTTTTGTTACAGGAAGACGCCGAAATAATTTTTAAATTGTGCAATTTTTGAAAAATCACGGATTTTAAGCGTTCATTAAGCTACCCATCAACAAAATTTAATCAAAAAATGTCGTGCCATTTTTTGAAAGGTGTTGAAAATGTCCAAAGGGCTACATATAAAGTACCCCCAGAATCAAAATATCCGTTTAAAATTATCAGCTAGATCGATTGGGGAATATCAATCATCGGTATCAAGGACCCACGAAACATGAATTCTGACTACACAATGTGTTGGAGAAAGTAATTTCCTGTATATGGGAAGAGGATTTATCCACTTTTTGTTACCAGGACCCAACAAAACGAATTTTCTGTCGAAAATTCGCCATTTTCCGGCGCACGATTAAAATACTTTCTTTTCTTACATTCATAAGTGCGAGGAAGTAAAAATTACCGACAACTGTCGAAAGTGACGCATGGGTGGAATTCAGCTGTGCTAATGTTTTTGAATTCTAGAATATACTCTATCAGTTTTGAATATTTTCTTCGTAATCTAACTGATTAAATTAGTACACTACTAAGGAAAATATATCCATTTATTGCAACAATTTGTTCATAATATCTTTTCAATTTTTTTTTTTAATTTAATATTTTAGTGTAAGTCCGAGTGAAAGAATTAAATCAAAACATTTTGAAAGCTTTAAAAAAATGTATCAGCCATATATAATACTACACTAATTCCTCTTACCATACGCATAATGTAGCGTAACGCTGCCACAAAAACCCGCACCTCTGTAGTGTTACGCAATTTATGAACACTGATGATTGTCGAGGTAGATCGATGTAAGTCATAAGTTTATTTTTTGTTGATCTTTACCTCGCATTTTTAGTGGAATAAGTTAGAACAATTTTTTTTTAATTTATTGTCTACCTGTTCAACATACATGTCAGTTAGGGCAATATTTCTGTGTAAAAAGTGAAAGTAAGCGAATACAAATTTAATAAGCCGGCCATACTTGCGCAATAACTATCTGAAAGTATAGATTATGCATATCGCTGGAAAGAGAAACGTTCGTATGTACCACGCACAGGTACCCCTATATCCTATCACAGAATAGAAAGTATTTCTGGAGAAATTTATAACCGCATACCTCAAGACAATCCATTGTGGGAAATAAACACAACAGCAAAACATAGACATTCTGCGCAAAATATATCTTAAAATCTTGTTTTCTATAAAATAACGACATTTTTAATAATTTCCCGTCTTAATTGTTTATAAAATTGCAAAAGATTTCTCGCCATCACCACATTTGCATAGACCAAATTTTTTCACATCGGCGGACCACGGAACATGTAAAACGAATTTTTCCTGAACTCATATTTTATGTTACAACATGAATCTTAATTATTTACTCTCACCAATTGTTTACAAAGAGCCATTAAATTCTGGAAAATGTCATAATCGTAAGTATTAAAACACTACATCACATGAAAAGATATAATCATCGCAACACGGAAATTCACACAAAAATTATTCTTAAAACCTTTCTTGTTAAGTAAAAAGTACGATTGTGTATAACATTGCGCCTACTAATTGTTTGTTAATCGCACACATCTTACCATCATTGTATTTCAATATAATAGTCAAAATTAAAAAAAGATAAAATTAAATTCCGGCGGACCCATTAAACCAAACTCGAAATTATTCTATAAACCTTATTTTATACACGAGAATGATATAAAATTCTTTACTACTCATAATTGTTTATAACAATCTGGTATATTTCTGGTAAAAATCATTAACGCATATGAAATCCTTGAAAATTATCCATCACTGAAATTCATTCAACCTACGAATCTAACGTATCTACATACAAAGTATTTTTTTTAACTATCACAATTTCAATCAATATTACTAGAAAACTACAAATATTCTGAAAATATTATGTACATTATTTAATGATCTAATTTTTAAGAACAAATTTCATTAAGAAAAACTCTTCATAATCCATAGTTGTAGGAAGGCTAAAGTATTACACTTTTGCAGTTTTCGGAATTTTAGAGATTTTACTGAAAATCGAAGCTGGACCATTTTTTGTAAACGTACTTTTTCGATAATCCAACATAAAAAATGAAAATTCAGGATAATGTTTTACATAATCATGCATCATGAATTGCACTGTCCGTGACTTCAAACTTCCCGGTTTTCGGAGATCAATATACGAAGAACAGATTTCTCCATTATAAAAAAAAACAAGAAACAAATTAAGAAAAAAGTGGTGGTTTGGTCCCATTACTGTGTTGTGACATTATGAACATTGTTGCAATGGTTACGCAAATGTGTCCATTATGACGATAATCACCAAACAGGTAGACCAACATAATAGTTGTCAGCATTCATATGTTGGTGCAACTGCCAGTGATCATGTTGTTAGACAGTACGCGAGGGTAGAGCCGAATGTAACCGAGGAACCTGAGCCGGAAAAAGCGCTATTTTAACTTGGATGTTCCATTTGGGTAGATGTACCGTGTATTGGTCAGCAACACTGCTTGTATTTATAACATTCTGGTCCACAAAAGCTTTTGTCTTTGAAATTGCACATATTTTTAGATAGTCAGGCATTCTTTTGAAAAAATATATTATACTGAGCAAACATAAAATTGTTAAATGAGCATTTTGTCCATGTCTTTAGACTCAACAAAAACTTATTAAAACACTAACATTGACAACTTCATAATTTGTCAATGGACTTCCTGTTTACCCAATATTTTTTTTAGAATAATGAGGTAATTGCAAATGTAATAAGTTCAAAATTGGTGAAAAAACGGTATTAATCAATTTTTTGTTATTCTTCGCAAAAATGAACAAATGATTGACTTATTTCTTATAATAAACTTCAAAATATGTAAAATGAAGTAAATACATTTGAACATTCTGTAGGTTAAAAAAATGTATCTGAACTAATTGGATAAAAATTTCATCTAGTAAATTTAGATAAATAGGTACATATTCTTCCAATTTTTTATTTTTTATTTAATAGTACAATTAATATTTAATGATGAAAGCTGTTTTAAAAACAAGTTTATAAAGTATTTTGCTGGTTCAAACTGCATATTTTATTAGATACATTTTTGAGAGTCCATGAAGCTTCCTTTGCATTAGTTTTTATTAGATTATATTACAAAAGGTTTTTTTTTATTTCCTACAATGTGAAACTGATTAATTTTACAAGAAACAATTAAAACCTATTTTCTTTGTTGCACAAAAGCAAATTTTAAAATGTCACCAATCAATAAAGTATTTATTTACTTTTATTTTCTATGTGTCTGATATAACCACACTTCAGAAAATATCATAAAAATACATTACAAAGAGAAACCCATGTTCATGTTAATGAAGACAGTGTAGTTACCAAGGAATTAATACGGTATTGATGTAAAGAAGGTAAATTTGTGATATTTTTGTAAAAGTGTTTGCGTTCTTGTAATGCTGCTTAATAAGGTGCTTACAGAAGATTTTTCTTTTCACTATTTTATAAGAAGCAAAACGGAAAGCTGAAAAGAGGAAGGTGGTTTATCGTCAAAATTTAAAACAAGCGCTCATTCTATTCGTGCTTATTCGGCCCTCAAATGCTGTCTAATGTTATCTGTGACTTCCGTGCAAAGTGCGTCATTTTCCCAGAAATCTGTGCGCAGGGTTAGGTGCGAGCGAGCGAAGGCTGCGCTACACCTTCGTTTTGCTTCGCATGTTGTGAAGAGCAACATGTCCATGAGTTGTAGATTTATATTTACATGTCGAATTGCAAGTGTACATAGTTATAATAGGATATTGAATTGTTTACCTTCTTGATTAAGTATTTATTTTAGGCCAGATCTCAATTTTTTAAGATATGCCGAAAGGAAAACGAAAGGGAAAGTCAGGTAAGGGTTTCGCAGCCATAGAATAAACTAGGAAAGCACGTTGTAGGGCCACTTGATTGCTGAAAGTAATAATATAATTATCGTGTTGTAATATAAGTGATAAATATATACTGTGGTTTTTTGTTGTTTTTTTCTATAATCTTGACTGTTAGTTTTCTGAAACTGTGTTGTGCAACTGTGTTACAGGAGGGGGACCTCCCAAATCACGCTCCGATATAGTTGGTCTGACTTCAGATGAAGATTCTGTCAATGACAACGCCAGTGTCACCAGTGGATTTTCAGAAAATAAAAGTTTGATTGAAGAAGGTAAGGTTTTATCTCATTGCTAGGTTGAAAAAATGGTGCCATATGTTAAGTTATTTTTTGCCATTGTTAAGGACATGTATGGATAATACAAATTTTTATTGTAGTTGATGCTTCTTATTGTTTGTAATTTACTTTTATCACCACTTTATTTAGGTTGTGATGAAGTTGATGAACAGACTAAAGAAGAGATATTTGAAGAAAAGTTGAAAGAAGCCATCGATGGATTAAATCAAAAGTCAGCCCAAGGCCGTACAGCATCACTGGAGTCTGTGGCCAAGGCATTTGTTCAGAAATGTATTCCAGAATTTGTAGTTAACAGGCAAGTATTTCAATCTTTTTAGTGTCAAAATTTGTAGTATGAACAGTCATATATACTATCATCCCTGTTGATAGTATTACATAATATTGTAATCATATTGCAATATTGCATATTTAACCTGCTAAAATAAACCAAATTATTAATTTTTTTACAATTTATTGTAGTTAATGGAAATTGTGTTACAAAAGAGGTGTAATCAAAGCAATATTTCAAGTTCCCACACTTGTTGGGCTTGTTTCTGTGGTAGGGGTGATTTCTATGTTGTCTAAACGTGAAATTTAGGGGGGTGTTTTGAATTATAGTAAGAAGCAAATAATATGGTTTCCTGGAAATCTCTCTTAAAAATGGATTCATTTGTATTTCAAATAATCCTGATAAGTGGATTGTCCTAATAATAGTAAGAGTAAAATGACCTTGATTGTCATTGATGAATGTTTGTAAACTTGTGTTAACTCACTTGACGAGTTAAAAAAGAGTTAATTTTCTCTTGCACTAAATATATTAGACGTTAGATATTAACAAGATGATGGTATGTGTTATTACTCGCGCAACCTTTCTTGAACGATGACCTTGCTTCTCCTTCTCTGGCACAAGAAACAGGTGAAGACAAAAGCCCGCAGCTAGCACTGATGACAACATTAGAAACACATCTTCACTGGCGCGAAATAGAAACTATTTTCTGTTGAAGACTAGAACTTCTGTCCGTGATTTTCTCCAAAAAACAATCTAAAAAGAAAAGAAACGACCGAAGCAGTTGAAGATCTATCACAGGAGATACCTCGAACTCCTAAGAAAGTTAGAACGCAAATTATTGAAAAAGTTGCGAATGCTTGACTGATTCTCCAGAGATTGGCATTGCTTCATAAAATCTAGTGGCAGATTTCGTAACTATTACCCTCACTCTACCCGCATTTCTTCAATCCATCGTTCAAGAAAAGTTGCTCGAGTAATACTACTTATTGTGAAAATAGAACAGTTATTGTTATGTCAGTGTGGAAAATTCTTATAGTTCACATGTTCCAGAATTTTATAGTAGGTAGTGCCACACTGAATCTGTCAAACATTCTGCCTCGTATGAATTTAAGCTGCTGTCTCGTTTATTCATTTGAGAGAAAGCCTTTCTAAAAATGAAAATGCTCTTTATTTTGGTAATCTTGTATTTTGTATGTAAGTGTTCAGTTGTTCTGTAGCCAATTACTCTTCAGGACAAGAAGAATTGAATTTTTGATGGTGATACACATCAATTAAATTTTGATGATGTCGGTAATAAACATGATGGCAACTGTTGCCATCATCATCATATTATTAACGCAATCAAAATAGTGATTTTATCCTTAACTCCTTTGCATTTTTTTTATTTTCCTTGTAACTTTGCATTGAAATACTTGTCAAGCTTGGATTAGGTTTGTTTTTGTTTCTTTTTTTTAATTGGATAGTTGAGAACCTTTAAAGATGCATCAGTTTAATTTACAAGTAATTTATAAGTTTACCAATGTATTCATTATAAACATAAGTACTTAATGAAAAGTATTGTACATGATGTAGCATCACTGCGTAAAGTTGCACAACAATTAACGAAAAGTTTCTACTTTGTTTGATTGACTGTGGAGTTCATAATTGATTATAAAATTCCTAGATTTAATTGTAGTAGTGAGGTTTTTGGTATATTATTTATTCTGAATTTTCTTCAAATTTGTTTGTTGAAAAACTGCTTATGGAGTAACTGATCAAATTAATTTTATTCATGTTAATTAAATCATGTTCCCATATTTTCATATCTTTTGTTGAGTTTAAATATTTTTACCCTTGTTTTTATGTAGCAGTTGTAAGTTAAATTTTTAAAATTTGAAGGAAATGAAATAAGGAAAAAATATATCCAGGCAAGACATATTTGTAAATTAGAAATATTTTCTTGTTTTTACAATTTTTTTTAATTGTTGAGAACTTCATGCTTTAGATTGTGTGTAAAGGTATACAAATCATTAGCAATTCAGTTGAGATTCTTCTATAATGTTGCTAATTTTGCCCACACCAAATGTTGTTTCCTTGTTAAGTGGTGCAGGATGTTTTTACAAATGTCTGTTTATTAATTCAGGAGAATGACTTTATCAGATGGAATAGAGCGCAGTTTGAAAAAAGGTCGAGGTCCTGAGCAGGCTGCTGCTGCTCAGTTGGCTCCACTGTTATGCGTTCAACTTGGAGCATTTGAGTGTGCAGAAGAGGTATACAGAGAATTAGCTCCAGTTTTATCAGCGGTGGCTCTTGACAAGTCTGCTTCTCCCCAAGCAAGATCAAAAGTAAGTAAATTTATTATAAGTGTCATCAATTAATTTGTGAAAGCTATCATATCTGGCCTTAATTATCACTTTCATTTTTTGTTTATTTCTTAGTGTTGTTGGGCTTTGGGACTATGCAGTTTTCTGGCTGGAAGAGATATGGCAGAAATCTATGGTTACATGCATTCTTTGAGCTCCATATTTTGTGCTTCATGCTTGAAAGGAGATGGATCTCTTCCAATTATTCCAAATGATTTGGCAGTTTTACATGCAGCAGCTCTTTCTGCTTGGAGCCTTTTGCTTACATTAATGCCACCGAGTGAAGCATACCATTCCTTCTCCATTGATAATGACAACTACACTCCGTAAGTATAATTTGTTTTAGTGCTCTAAAACAGTTAATTTTGTATTTAAATTGAAACAAAGTTTTTACAAGAAAACTTGCTTGTACAGGCAATTCTATCAGTTGAGTGAATTGTTGGAATCTGCTCACCTTGATGTCCGTATGGCTGCTGGAGAAACTATTGCTTTGGTGTATGAATTGGGCCGTGAACATAATGAAGACTTCCAGGATGATGTGACCCCACAATTGGTGGATACCTTGAGGCAGCTAGCTACCGACTCCCATAAATATAGAGCTAAAAAAGATCGTAAACAGCAGCGATCCAGTTTTCGAGACATTTTGCATTTTATTGAGGTTTGTATCTATTCTTGAAATATGTAGAATCTAGATTTTCTTGGTAACTTCATTACTTCAGTTTTATCCTGTGAAAAAATTCTAGTATAAATAGGTCATTATTAATTGGGATTTTATAATCAATGAGGAAACTTCTCCCATGTTAAAGTAGGGGTCATTACAGTTGAGTATTGATAATGACAGTTTTATGCAAGTATATTATTTCTCTCTTGTGTTAGTTTTTATTGAGTGCTAAGATTTCCTGTGTGGAATTTGGGTCTACAATTTCCCATTTGCATTCTGTTAGCTACAGTAACACATCATGGAAAGTGTAATTTTAATTTTCAATAACTAAAAAGAATTAACCCCTAATTTTTGTTCCCATTTGTAGAAATAAAAAATCATAAAACAGATTTTCATCATTTTGTTAGAATCAGTAGCATGAATATCATGTTTTAATACAATATTTTAAGAGTGAAGTAGTTTTGTGGTACAATTATAAATACTTCTTTTTTTTTTTTATTTGTCTCTCTAAATCTTCATGGAAAATTAGAACTTTACAAAAACTTTCATGAATGTTTTTTCAAGATTTTGTTAATGAAATCCCTATGTAGTGTGTAAAGTTGTCTTTTGCTGGGATGATTCATTTTTGTAATGGTTTTAAGTTTTAAGACAGATAATTATTATTTTCATTTGTTTTTCTTATTAATGTAATTTATTTTAGGATTGTGAGCCTCCTGACATTCAAGTGAGATTTGGACAAGAAATGTTGGAACTTGATTCTTGGTGTCGTAAGAAACAATATGATGCTTTTTGTCAGGTAAGAGATTTTATTTAGTCAAAATAAATTTCATGTTTTCTGACTTCTGTAACAAATAGTTCAGAAAAATAATTTCGTTAATTGTATTTGCTTTATTAGATTGTGCAGGTAAGAAGTGTTGATACAATGTATTGAGTATATTAAATTCCAATGGAATAGTCACATTTAAGAATACTGACTGTATTTATTGTAACTGATGAGAAATCATTGCTTGAAGGAAATGTAAGAGCTGCATATGTATCTGTTAGCTGAATGGTATTTATGCATTGAACACAATTTAACATTACAACTTGACGTGTCAAATTACTCAACTGCAATTCAAGTGTTTGATGCAGTTTGTTCTTTTCTTTTGTAATGGTGTTCATTTTATGTTTGAAACTTGTGAGTTTGAGGGTTTAAGAGGAAAAATTGATCGGAGAGATGTAGAAAAATATTAAAATGTGAAGAATTTCTAAAATGGAATGATTAATTATGGCAACAATTCATAGTGATCAGATTGACTATCCCCTCTCATGACTTAAGATTATAATTTTGTAATCTGTAGGAGTTATTAGAAAAAAGAGGTATAAAAATAAATATACAGTAACTTTCTTTAAAAAACAGTTACTGGAAATAACTCTCTATTGGCTTAAAATGTGTCAATAAAACTTTTATAATTTAATGAGTTACATTTCTTTGTACATAGGTTTTGGGTTCTGGAATGAATTTACATTTGACAGAAAATGATCTAGTTAGAGATATCTTCAGTTTGGGTGAAAGAGTGTCTCCATTGAATGTATCTGCCCAGAAGCAAACAAAATTAGAAAGGGTAAGTGAGAAAATAATTATTAATTCATGTTCCGAAGCTTCATCCTTGCTACAGTCTATTCTTTTTAAATTTAATTATTAAATTTGCTTCTTTTACTTTTCAGCATTTAATGAATGCAGCTGCATTTAAGGCTCGCACTATTTCACGAAGTAAAAACAGAGACAAGAGATCAGTGGTAATGGCCTGCTGACTTCTCTCTTCATAGATGAGTATGAAATTGTACCAACTGTTGCAAAATTGCCTGTAGGATATTTCCAAATGAAGTAATTAAAACGGGGCATTTCACAAATCAGAAGTCATTTTTGTGTAGAAGCTAGAGTTGGTACATTTCATGAATTTTTTTGGGGCATTCTTCTTATAAAAGTTCAGAGATTTTTGCTATTTATAGAATTTGATTACTTTTATTTCACAAATTCATTGAAGATTTTCCAATAGTTGTGATTTTCTTGTGTAAAACTAAGGCACTTATTGAAAAAAGTTTGCACAGAACAATTCTTTAAGTACTTTCATTTTAAGATTTGCAATATCAAAATTTTTATCATGACATTTTTTAAAAGTTTTATTTCTGTATTTATTTTTTGTTAAAGATTTTAGTGTGTAGAGAAACAAGAGAAATCGTTGCCATCTGACTTAATGGTGTATGGTTTTGAGTGTACAGGATTGCTCTCAGATGTGCATTTTTAATCCTTTTTTTTTTAATTTATTTTTTTAGGAATATTTTTAATGAAGGATTTTAAAACCTCATCAACTATGTACTGTATATCAGATTGTAAATAATATGTACAAATGCTAAAATGCTCTTGTGATTTTATAACAATGTGCATATGGTATTGCACACAATATTGTGTGATTGAACTGTTATAATGTACTGTAATTAGTGTGTGTGTGTGTAAACATCGGTGGCAAACTTGTAATTTGTATTCTACTTTTGATATCAACAAACTTCCATCAAATTTTATTACAGTTTTGTAATGTGAAATACTTCAGTGACTTTTCAATAATTCCACTTAGCATTTTTTTTAAAATTATTTTTAATTCTATGGTTAGTAGTTGGCAATATTTTGCTTGATTTCTGATGGTTAAAATGCAATATGTTGCAGGGAGAAATATAATTTTTCAAAGAGGCCAACATTGAGGTTAATTTATCTAAACTGCGCCTTGTTTTACTGTACTTTGTATTATCTTTACAAATATTCCTTCGAGGGATAGGACATTGGCCAGAGGTGACCAGTGTTACTGAAAAATCTTTATTAATGTCTTTTGCATTATAAGAATGTGTACCTTATCAGCCCTTGAAGAAATTGGCTAATTCTCATTCTCCTGCCCTTGTTACTGTTGTGTTTTGCTATCTCTCAAGGGTTGCAAGTGGCAAGAAGAAAAAAGTTCAAATCGAAAATTTAAATTTGTTTAGTATTCATCTGTAAGCAAATCATAGTCTCTAAAGGCTCTTCCCATATTGAATTTGATATTACAAATGTACGCATTATTATTATTATTATTATAAAAATAGGAGAAAAATTAACTTTTAGCAACCACACTTAGTTGATAATGATTGTGTGTAATTAATTCAGTCTTGTTCTTGTTTATAAAGTCTTTATTTCATACTAGAGCATCAATAGTCTAAAACATTTTTCACCTACTGAAATGCAATATAGATCAAAAATATTTTCTGGACTGGATAGTTTTTTATTAATTAAATTAACTCCTCTTCAGTAAGTTTCAAAAGATGGATCTCTGCTGTAGTTAATGAGTCCTCTTTCTCATAAATTGTTGACAAAATTGGCCTATGGTTTTTGTTCTGATTTTCGTGAATTGTGAAATTGTGATGGTGATTTGTGAAGCAGTTAAAATTAATGCAATAGCAAGAAGTGAATGAAGTGTGCAAAGTGATGAAGATTTAGGTCAAAAGGATATCCTTCTAATATGTTATTGGGTTTTTTTAAGTTTTTAACACTTTTTTTTTTTTATGTTGGTTTTGTAGAAAAGTCTTTCAAAAATGCATACGCTATATTTTGAATTTGTAATACTTTCTGGTGAAAACCTTTGATGTCATTGTAGACAAATTTACTCAAGTTTGGAGTTGTTTACACTGATAAACTTCAGCAGGACTATAAGTCTGTATAAGAGCAATGTGAACGATTATTTGTGGCTAGGTTCTGGAGAGTATAGCTTCACACATTTAATGGAGAAATGTTAACATCTCTTAGAAAGTAAATTACATGTTAAACTGGAAATAGTATAGAGGTTACTAATTCTGCCAGTTATCATCAGGAAGAGAGAAGATTAGAATGAGTTTCTGAAATTTGTTTGTCAAAATGTACTAGGGAGATTTTGCAGGGTGAAGCATTTTAGCAATGGATAGTACCATTGATCTTCTCTGCATCCACAGTTCAAGTTTCACATCGGTTTTCTGCATGTGTGTGCGTGCACAGAAGGTCGAGATTGCTGTATGATATGACAGGCAAAAAGTACCTATCAAAAGAAGGGGTCTCCAAACTATTATCCATGGTCTGAATCTGACCTCAGTAATTTTTCATACAGCCTGCATTACTTCCAAACTATGTGGGTGGTGTAAAAATTCAGAGGCAGTGCTGGTAAAGACTGGTTGGAGTGAATGATGTACTTTGGTGTTGAATGCACTGGTGCGTGTCACTAAACGTAAAGACAGGATACACAGTGTGAAGGATTTACTATTTTGTAATGTGAACTTTGACATGTCACCTACTGTTGTTCATACATTTCATGATTGGAAGCATTATGACGTATCTTGAGAATCACTCACACTTAAATGCCTGGTTTCAATCACCAGCGTTCAGTAACTATTTCGGAAACCCCTATCTCACTCGGAAGATAGTTTCAGAGTATGTTTCTAAGTGCAAATCTAATCAAAAAGAATTCTAGTTATCTGCTGAAATGTTTACACTGTAAATTTGACAAATTTGTTCTTCACTGAATTAAAAGATGTGCACATATGTGCCTCCCAAAACAAAAATTATTTTCTTTTATTTAATTTCATTTTCATAATTTTATTATAATCTAAAATTGCTTTTTTTAAATTCATTTTCTTTGGACATGTTTAAGTGAATTACTTGGTCAACATAGCCTTCTGTGAAAAGATTAGAAGTCCTGAAATGTTTGGAGACCCCTGATTCAAAGGATTTGGCGTTTTAAGCTAAGAACAGACAATCTGCCAAAATCCTAAATTCCAGAACCAGTGTTTTGCCACTTCATATTGTTCTCTAAATATTAATATAATATTTTTTATAAGCTAATTACAATGCAGAGATTGAAATAGATCTGGTTTGCTTCATGTACAGTACATAATTGAAACTTTGTTCATGTATCATTTATTCTGTAATATATATCTTTATATTCTGTAATTTTAGATTGGAGTAATCTAATGTTCATATTTGCTAATGTTTATGTTATTGTTGAATTAGTGAAGTAATGTGTAGGCCTTATGTGGCAAAATTTGCTGTTCTGTAGTGTACATTTTAGTAATCCAATCTATAATCATTTGGACTGTGTTAGGTGGATCACACCGCAGTTTCTCTTTAATGATGTGAAATGAGTTTACCACTAGCATTGTCAACCAAATTGTATAAATCCTTTGGAAAAGAATCTGCTAGTTCGTACATTGTTACCAGTGGTGTTCAAAAAATACAGTGAATATTCGGTACTTTTGATCTTTAATTATTTTTATTTATTCCTGATTCATTTTTAATACACCCGATTCATTAGTCATCTCATCCCATGCTTCCTTCATAGGCTTCCTGTCAAATCATTCTATAAAAAAATATTAAGTTTAAATTACTGTGCAAGTAAGCTTTTAGGTGTTTATTATACATGTGACTTCATTTTTCTTTTACACATCAAGTATAAAAGTTCTCAATCTGAAACTTACAATGGCAAAGTTTGCCCATGGACATAACAGGATGTGGGTAAACTTATATAATCACATTGATTTTTCAATTTGCTCTGGCTGAATGCCTTGTAATTGCAGTTTTCTATGAAACACACGCAACATTTTCATTATTAACTTTTATGTCCCTATGCATTCTGAATTTTCGTTTCAAGCCTTGCATACAGTCACAACAATGCACATGTCTGTCTAAGCAACTTAGCATTGTTGGCCAAGGATTCAATCATGATTTTATGAACTTCTGTTAAAATTTTGTTGATCACAAAACATACAATGTGTTCTCAGGAATAACTTGAAAGATGGACTGTATTCTATTATATTCTCGCACAATGTATTCCATGCAGCATAAAAGCTTGTGCAGTAAAACCCCTCTTTACACTTTCCATTGGACCTAATGGTGTAAGGGGAAATAATTTTTTTTCTTTGAAACTATGAGTACAGTATAATGTATTTAGGTTCATACAATCAATAAGGATTTTAATCTGCAGTATTTGATATACGTAATAAATAAAGCCCGGATGTTTGTGTCAAATCATATTTTTTTCTTTATGATTTTATCTACAATGACTAAAATTATGCAATTTTCACAGATCATATACAGTCATGCTTTGGATTTTTTAAACCCTTTTGTCATTTTCCATTAATTTTTCATATTTGGGTCTTATTTTGTCATGTATTTTTGATCATATTTTTATCTTCTTGATTCCATATTTGCTTGCAGTAGTCTCAAAGAGATTTTTCATTCTCCTAATTGTTGTTATATTTCTGACAATTATATCTAATTATTATCTGTCTTTCATATAAATATATACTATGTACGTGCAGTAGGGGGTAAGCTGAATTGGGGAAAAAGAAAGCATAGAACGCACTACATGCAAAGGAAGAGTTGATTTAGTTTCGTCAGATTTTGCACAAAAGTCCAGCTCTTCTATAAGTAATTTGAGCTGCCAGTATTGTCTTCGTGGGGTGCCAAAGGAGGAGTGAACTAGATTTTAAAAGTATATTTTCAATATAATTGTTATTTAAACACCGGCAAGGTGTTTCAAAAATGCAACCAAAAAATTTGAGTCACATTTTCGTATTTTTTAGGTCATAAATGCCAATTTCTAATGTTTTTAGGTCATAAACATCCGGGCTCTAGTAATAAACAATATTAAGAAAAAATTATGTGTATTTTAGAATGGGAAAGTGTGAAATTGTGAAGGAGGATGATGTAAAATAAACAAATGATCGTGAGGCTACCTCTTAGGCCTGTGTCACATGTGCGTTGCGTTGACGCACGTCATGTGTGTTCCTTGGTAAAATTTTAAGATCTTTATTTTGGAAATAAACGATGGTTATCTTCCCCGACTCTTTCAATTATTAACCTTGAAATAAAAAATTTAATTTTACACATATCAGTTTTGTTTGTTTACCGATAATAACCTCTCCACCCGAGTACTAATCTGATAAGAGAAGCAAAACTGCACATAGTTAAAATAATTAATTTAAGGTATATTATACCCCAAACAAGAAAAGTTTTAAATAATGTTATATATCTCATGTATTCATTGAAAAAATATGTCCACAATGAAAACTAAAACATCAAGAATATATTTGTTCTGTGTCTATAGTGTCTCTTGTTTTCCTTGTTCCTCTGAAATATCTTCTAATTTTTTATTTTCTGATGTCTGTTTTTAACTTTCTTTCATTTTTTTAAGGAACTACACCCTCTTTTCAAGAAAGGGGGTGTGGTTCCTCTAACTCAAACCAAGATAAATCCAAATAATAATTATTATTATTAATAAATATTATTTTCTTAAAAATAATTATTATTAATAAAAACAAAATGAAAGATCATAGAACAAAATGAGCCTCCATTTAAAATGAGTATCAGTATTTAATGACTATTAGCAGAACATATAGGGGAAATATGCACATGAGACATGGTGCTAGACATGCCAGGTTTATGTGCACGGCTTCCCCACTGCCAGAGATAACTCCATAAATAACACAACGCTAAAGAAGGAGGGTTTGAAGCAGTGCTATGTTGTGTTACTTAGGGGTAGGGGGTATTAGCTTAGTGTTATGTTGACAGTAATTTAAAGAAATTATGATATAGTTGTTACAATAAATAGAATTATGTTTCATCAATGATATATTGATTGAATCTGTTAGATGAAGAAAATATTGAAAACTGCGCTGTAGTCTATTCTACATAGAATCCGTTTAAATTGGCACTGTCTCTCGCCCATGCATCATCCACGAAGGCAATACATGACTTGTCAGAATTTGTGTTGTCTAAGTGTCCTTCCTCAAAAATTGTCTCCAATCTTATTGATAGGTGCGATCAGCATTTCCAACTATGTCTAACTTAAATTGTAATAAATAAAATTTAAAAAATGAAGCAAAGAACAGAAATAAAATTTATACAAATGGTCTTTACTGTTATATATTATATTCTTACTTTTAGTAAATAAGGGGGTGTTGTTAAAGGCTTACGTAATTTAAGCGCGCGTTACAGTGGGGAGAGGGGGTATTGAAATTACTCCAAATTTGCGTTACGTAATTAATGGACGGTCCCTAAGATCTACGTTGCGTTAATTTACAGAGGGCCCTGGAAGTGAGGAAACAAATGCCGAAAGGCTAAGATAGAAAGGAGTCTTAACTTCCTGTAACCCTAATCAGGTGGTTTCTGCAGTAATTAGAATTTTGCTTCGTTTAGAATCTAATTTCTCTGGATTGTATTGCATCATAGATGCCAACTCTCTAAGAAATGCCGAATGTTAATGTTCGGTCACTGAAAGCCTAGGCTTGTGTCGCATAATGCAACTTATTAGCAGTCGACCTTCCGAATAAGATACGATGGTAATGTACAATGCGCGTCAACGCATCGCCCACGTATCACAGGCCTTAACTGACTCAATTCTCAAGGGCCCCGTAAAAAATCGCAGATTAAGTTGTTAAATTATATTCCAAATCCAATTATTAATGTTTTGTCCGTACACGTAATAGCCATTAAAACTGTTTACCAAATGGCCTAAGCCTAGATCCCATGAATTTGAAAGATCCAAAAATAGTTTGAAAAACAATTGAATGGTTAAACAATTTGGTAATTAAATATAGCCAGTTGAAAATATCTAAAATATTGATTTGCCAATATCTTTTTAATATTCTCACCAACAAACATTTTCAATCAATATGTCTAGAGTTTTCATAAAACGAATGCTTTATATATCTTCAATAAGTCAAATTTTGTTTTTCAAACAGTTTCACGAAACATGAAAAATGCGTTCCGTTTGAATAAAATTGTTATGTAGAAATTTATTCCTGACAATTCCAACATAAATGCCAAGCCATCTATATCACTTGCATCACTCCCCTCTACCGAATCCTCCAATACAATAAACACCAAATTATTTCGTATCGGCGTATTACTATATTTAAGTCTCGTTTTATATTTCTTTTACAAATCCCTTAGAACCTTTTTCTCTCGCTTCATTCGCTCTCTCATATTCTTTAGGCAGTTTGAGAGAGATGTTGGAGAATCGAAGCAACTGGTCCATTAAACGTTGATATTCTCATTTTCCTTCTTTGTAATTACTACGTAGTCAGATAAATTATATATCGTTGCTATTTGAATTATTTTTTACACGTCGAATTATTACACAAGAGTCTGTTTCTGCGCAAGTAATGCATGTAACAACTCCTTTTACTATTAGACTGAAGTCAGCATGACAGTAAAAAATCTATTAACAGATTCCATGCATCACACCGGTATTAACAGATGGCTCTAACAAAGGCAGCAGCGGCCGTGGAAATAAGATGCCTGAGACGAATGGGAGAGGAAAATCCTTTATATAACACTAAGGACTGATAATTTGATGCGAGGAAGTCAGAAAACAATACAAGACATTGGAGATAGTATCCATGAACTTCATGGCGCTGGGGCGGACATGTTGCCCGTCAGATCCTACCAGACTTCGTGCTACGTTTTGGGATCGAGATAGGCTGGCGCAACACAAGGACGACAACAGAAGAGATGGGTCTGCATGTGTTCCAGAAGAAGTGGGTGGAAAAGAGTGGTCAAATAGCAAAAGAGACAAGTATGGAAGGAAACTTAAAAAATCAATGTCAAAAAGTTTATCTTTTAGTTAGAACTTATATCCATCTTTTATAAATGTATTTCACTCTATTCTTATAAGAAATTTAAAGAAACAATTTGGAGCCATTTTTGAGGAACGTTTGAAAATGTTGCAATGTTAACATAAATTAATGAATGTTTTTCAAAATCATAGAGCTTTGACTCATGCCAGATCGACATTTCTTCAATTTGAAAGAAAACAACATATGGTTTAGGCGCTAGAGTTGTTCCCATACCCCAGACAAACGGAGAGATGGACGAACGTTTTGAAGAAAGAATAAAAACACTTTTTGGGGGACCCCAAAACGTGTATTTCCGTTTAAATTTCGTAATCGATTTTCCGCAGCATTACATAACTTTCTTTACACTCCGTATATACATACGTAGTATATGAAAAAGGAAAAAAGACGAAAGTGTCGCTTTTTATATTTCATATTATTAACGAAATAAAAATATAACAGTTCGAAAAGTTCACACATACGTGCCTCATGTTGTGCTTTGAACACCAAAGAATTCTGCATGCATTAGAGAGTCAACTGCGCGAAACTCTTTATGTTTCATAATTCCGCCCAAATCGTGCGTTTGACCATGGCTATCTCCACTCTAGGGAGTCATGGTTTGATATCTTGAA